AAAAAAAAAAAAAGTACCATACCAGTTTTATTGTTATAGTTAACATTTTTTATGAATTAGGTCGTAGTCTCCTCATCAATAACTTACGGTTTTATTTTTGGAGTTTTTGTTTTGTTAAGACCAAGACTTTTTTCAGTCAGGAGATTGGTTTTTTGGTTTTTGGTTTTTGGTTTTTTTTTTTGAGACAGAGCCTCAAGCTATTGCCTTGGGTAGAGTGCCATGGTATCACAGCTCACAGCAACCTCCAACTCCTGGGCTCAAGCGAGGCTCTTGCCTCAGCCTTCCAAGTAGCTGGGACCGCAGGCGCCTGCTACAAGGCCTGGCTATTTTTTGGTTGCAGCCATCATTGTTGTTTGGCAGGCCCAGGCTGGATTCAAACCCGCCACATTAGGTGTATGTGGCTGGTGCCTTAGCCATTTGAGCCACAGGCACCAAGCTGAGATTGTTTTTTTTGAACTGAGTCTTCCCTCTACAATAGTGGGCTCTAGAATTTATCTCAACTTTAAAGCAGAAAGCCTGCATGATATAAATTCTAGGTATCAGACTAATGACAGGAGAATGTTTAAGGATATAGGATATCATTTTACATTTCTGCTATAGGGTTTTTTGTTTGTTTATTTTTGTTTTTTGAGACACAGTCTCACTTTGTCACCCTGGGGGTAGAGTCCAATGGCATCACAGCTCACAGCAACCTCCAACTCTTGGGTTCAAGTGATTCTCTTGCCTCAGCCTCCCAAGAAATTGGGACTACAGGTGCCCAGGACCACAACACCCAGGTATTTTTAGAGATGGGGTCTTGAACTCCTGTGCTCAAGGGATCCTCCAGCCTCAGCCTCCCAGAGTGCTAAGATTACAGGTGCGAGCCACTGTGCCTGACCCCTGCTGTAGGATTTTAAAAACTAAACTATGTAGTCCTATTCAGAGCAATTAGGCAAGAGAAAGAAATAAAAGCCATCCACATTGGAAAGGAAGAAGTTTTCCCTGTTGCAGACAACATGATCTTATACGTAGAAGACCCTTAAGACTCTACCAAAAAACTATTAGAACTAATAAATAAATTCAGTAAAGTTAAAGGATACAAAATCAGCATACAGAAGTTATTAGCACTTTTATGCACTGACAATGAACTATCCAAAGAGAAATCATGGAAAAAGTCCTATTTATAATAGCTACACAAAAATAAAATACCTAGGAGTAAACTTAGCCAAGGAGCTGAAAGACATGTACAGTGAAAACTATGAGGCACTGATGAAAGAAGTTGAAGAATATACAAATCCATGGAATGAGTGATATCCTCTGTTTATGGATTGGAGGAATTAATATTGTTAAGATGCCCATCCTACCCAAAGTGATGTACAAAGTGGAATCTCTATCAAAATTCTAATGATACTTTTCACAGAAATAGAAAAAAAAAATCCTAAAATTTATATCAAACCACAAAATACCTTGAATAGCCAAAGCACTCTTGAGCAAAAAGAACAAAGCTTAAAAGCATCATGCTAGTTGACTTCAAAATATACTGCAAAGTTATAGTAATCAAAACAGTAATAACATAAAAACAAATAAATGAATGGAACATAATAGCCCAAAGATAAATCCATACATTTATGGTCAACTGACTTTTGAGGAAGGTGCAAGAAACACAATGGAGAAGGAATAATTACTTCAATAAACAGTGTTGAAAACACTGGATATCCATGGGCAGAAGAATGAATGAGACCCTTACACTGCATATAAAAATCAACTCAAAATGGATTAAGGACTTAAATGTTAGACCTAAAACTATGAAACTACTAGAAGAAAATATGAGATTGGTCTGGGCAGTGATTTTTTTTTTTTTAATTTCAAAAGTATAGGCAATAAAGGAAAAAATAGAGAAATGAGATTACATCAAACTAAAAAATGCCTGCACATTGAAACAATCAGCAAAATGAAAAGACAACCTGCAGAAGGGTTAACATCCAATATAAGGAGCTCAACTCAATAGCAAGGAAACAACCCAATTAAAAAATGTGCAAAGAACCTGAATAGGTATTTCTTTAAAAAAAGACCTACAGATGGCCAATAGATATATGCAAATATGCTTATATCACTAATCATTAAGGAAATGCTCCTCATTACTCATCAAGGAAATTAAAACCATAATGAGATATAACCTAACTCCAGTTAAAAGTGGCTATTATCAAAAAGACCAAAGATAACAAGTGTTAGCAAGGATGTAGAAAAAGGGAACCATTTTTCGCTGTTGGTGTGAATGTAAGTTAGTACAGTCATTACGGAAAAGAGTAGGGAGATTTCTCAAAAAAAATTACAACTATAATATGGTCCAAAAATCCCACTCTAAATAAAATAAAATCAGTATGTCGAAGAGATAACCTGCACTCCTATGTTCACTGCAGGATTATTCACAGTCCCCAAGATAAGGAATCAACCTAAATGTTTATCAGCAGATCCATGGATAAAGAAAATGTGATAAACATACACAGTGGAATACTATTTGTTCTGGAAAAAGAAGGAAATCCTGTCTTTTGTGACAATAGGAGTGAACCTGGAAGACATGTTAAATGAAATAAGCTAGGCACATAAAGACAGATAATACCTGATTTCATTTATATGTGGGATCTAAAAAAGTTGAACTCATAAAAGAAAAGGGTAGAGTGGTAGTTACCAGAGGCTGAGGGAAATTTGGGAGATGTTGGTCAAAGGTATTTTTAAAAATTAAAAAAGGAAAAGTTTTGACTTTTCTGTCAGTCCCATTTGTTATGTGTATCTACTACTTTAGAGTTATGAAACACTAAAGATTTTAAGACCTTAAGATACCTACTTGAGATACATTATGTGATTCATTTTAGTAACAACTGGTACTTTTATGTTCCCAGCAGGAAGATGATTTGAAATGGGTAGAAGAGAATGTTCCTTCTTCAGTGACAGATGTGTAAGTTTTTGAATCCACTAGGATCATATTTAAAAATTAGTATGACTTTAAAAAAATAAATTTTAATTGAATGAGCTGAAGAGCATACTAATGAAAATACAAGATATTGAAAAATAATTTAAAAATTAGGAGTAACAGCCAAACAAATATAATTGGGATGCTTCATTCAGATGACATTTCTGCTTAGAAAGATTTAACTGTATAGTAGATCTTACTAAAAACAATGAATAATTCTTTTGAAAATTTTGAGTTCCTCTCCAGGGTGATAATTTTAATGAAACATTGTTCCTATCACACTGTAGAAGATTTTTTTTTTTTAGAGACATCAAGTTTCATTATGTCACCCACGGTAGAGTACTGTGGCATCACAGCTTACAGCAACTTCAAACTCCTGGGCTTAAGTGATTCTCTTGCCTCAGCCTCCCAAGTAGCTGGGACTACAGGCATCCACCACAGTGCCCGGCTATTTTTGTTGTTACAGTTGTCATTGTTGTTTTAGCTGGCCGGGGCCAGGTTTGAACCCACCAGCCTCTGTATGTGGCCAGCATCCTACCCATTGAACTATGGGCACCACTCGCAGAACATGTTTTGTTTTTTCTATACAATTTCTATAACTCTGATACTCTGTTGCCTTTTTTTTTTTTTTGTCCTTAAAGGACCATTAATACAATACAAATTCTAGATAATTATATTTTTAGAAAAACCTTTAAATTGTGTTCATTATCCCATTGTCTTTTTTTCTGAGACAGCATGTCACCCTATCACCCAGGCTGGAGCTATACCCTCAAACTCCTCAGCTTTGCCTTGGCCTCCTAAAGTGCTGGGATTATAGGTGTGAGCCACTATCCCTGCCCCACTGACTTTTATTAACGGTTTATTGCTTTATTTTATAATTTAGTATTTCTCTCTTTCTACAGAGCACTACCAGCCCTTCTGGATTCAGATGAGGTTAGTAATCAAATCATGTGCATGAACTGTGGATCTGATGACTTAGTCGGAAGTCATGAGTCTTCTGTTCAGTAAGAGTCTATTTATTGATTTGGCTCGGTAATGGCCTGAAGAACTAAGGTTGGTATAGTTGAAAAGAACAAGAATGGAAATACTAATACAGCTTAAACATCCAAGAGTGTTTCCTCTTTTTACATCTGTGTATATGTGTCCCCCCTTTTCTTTTCCACAGTTACATAATCAGACTTGAGAATGTTTTTGCTAAAGTTGGGCAGCAGATAACATATTCTCTACAACCTAATTCCTTTTTCTTTTCAGATATGGAAATTTAACCCTGATCTCATCTCAGCCAATATAATAGCAGTAATGAAAAATACTGAGAAAGGCATATAATAGACCAAAACAAAATATAAATTATATTTTATATCATATATTAAATTAGAAATATATATTAAATAAGTTAATTTTGTTAGTTAATTATGTTAGTTTGTTATGTTAATTAGTTATGTTGAATAATATTTATGTTGGTTTTTAATTTTTAATTTTGCCCCTCTACAGTTCATCTAGAAGGCTTCATATGAAGCTTTATGTTAGAATTGTGTCCTGAATTCATGGAAACCAGTTCTAGACGTGTTCTGAGTATTAGATTATTCTTTAGTCTCTTGATTTCAGAAAGCTTTTTGGAAGCCTCTTGCCTGATTCTGACTTAAACTGTGTAGAATTGGGTGCTAAAAGTGGTTCATTCATTTCCATTTGCCTGCTCTGTGATGGAGGATATTACAGTGCCAGATTCCTTAGCTGTTCTATGCCTTACAGTAATTGAGAACTCCACCATTCAGATTTGAACCTGTCCATATAACACTTTGCTTTCTGTAGTGTGTTCTGTAGTTCCCAGATCTCCTTCCTTCTTGGGAGTCTTTCTCTGCTAACTTATTTGCCTTAGGGCTTCCCTGTGGCTTCAGTTCTACAGTCATGCAATATTCCTCCCAGAGGGGGCTGAGTAACTGAAACCTGATTGTGCCACTCATGGGAATACAGGTTTGCTATAGTACTTTCGTTGGCACCAAGTTCAACCATCTGTTCATACTTCCTCTTTGAAAAATTATGTAAGACTTTGCAGGTTTACATAATAAATGTCAAAGCTGTGGGGTCATGTAAAAAAAAATAATAGTGAGATCTACCCTCATAACAATTTTTTTAGTTTACATTGTAATACTGTTAAGTATCAGTACAGTGTTATACTCTCTAGACCTTTTCATCTTATTTAACTGAAATTTTATACCCATTAATAACAGTTCCTCCTTAACCTTCTCCTCCAGCCCCTGGCACCTGCCAGTCTGCTTTCTGCTTCTATAACTTCTAAGTCCTTCTGTGACTTGCTTATTTCACTTAGCATACTCTGTCAAGGTGCATCCAAATTGTAGAATTTCTTTCCTTTTTTGGGCTATATCCACTGTGTGTATATACCACACTTTCTTTTATCTTTTCTTCAGTGGACACTTCGGTTATTTTTGTTTCTTGGTTATTGTGAATAATGTTGTAGTGAAAATTGAAGTGCAAATATCTCAAGACCCTGCTTTTTTTTTTTCTTCGAGTATATATCCAG